CTCATCATCCTGTCCACAGTACAGCCATCCTCATCATCCTCTCCACAGTACAGCCTCATCATCCTGTCCATGATGCAGCCATCCTCATCATCCTGTCCACAGTACAGCCATCCTCATCAGTGTACTTTTGCTCAGTTATCCCCTCTTCCTAGGAAGCATGGCCAGATTTCTGTGATATTCTTGCCTTCCAGCACAATTTTGATTCATCAAGTTCATTGTTGAGGTCTGGCTTTAGATGTGGTCAGGAAAACTTTAGATGGAATGGCTTGATGTATCTGGCCTCTCCTTCATTAGGAGACACCATCTTGTCCTAGACTCAGCCTCCTCTGAGGCAGGGGCACAGGAGTTTTGTCCCTTGTCTGGAGGCTTCTGCTTCTGTCTACAGTATGCTGGGCTGGAGCCGGCACACCAGGCAACTTCAGCCATTATGGAGAATTTGGCTGTGGGAGTGGTCAGTATTTTCTGTGCCTTCCTTTCTTCCTGAGGCCTTTTCTTGTGGAATGGGCTGTCTAACTAGCCTCTTTAAAGGAAATTTACATGCATTAGGGACATTTGCTATGTGTGTGTGTGTGTGTTTTGTCTTGATAATCTTATGTAAGCATGTATGTGAATGTGAATGTTAAGCATGTGTGTGAATGTGAGTGTGTGTTTTCTGGATACCTGTCTGTGTCCACATGAGATCCTTAATATCCTGAGAGGGTTCACTGACTAATAACCAATGGCACACAGGCTGTCCTTTAATCTTATTTAGAGGATTCTAGGCCATCAAAGACCTAAAAAAATAGCTGGGGTATAAAAGACCTTAATGGGGGTCTCTGATTTTGGTTTTGTTGGTAGTGGTGGTTTTCAGACAAGTTCTTACTATGTACCCCTATCTGTCCTGAAACTTGCTTTGTAGACCAGGCTATCCTTTAACTCACAGAAATCCAGCTACCCCTGCCTCAAGAATGCTGAGGTTAAAACCAGGCACCACCAAATCCTCCTATTAGGGGATTTTATAAACATAGTTATTGTACCTGACTGGGAAGACAGACCTCAATAAGGATGCTGAGGGAAGGACCAGAGAGCTGTGGCCAAAGGAGGGGAGGCTCATAAAAAGACACCAGACTCTCTTGAGCCTCCTCACAGACAGCATTAGCATCCAGACCTCCAGTTCTAGCCCACACTTGCAGATAAACCCAGATCTCCTGCCATTCAGAAGCTTTCTTGAGCTGTACTGCCTTCAGGCCTGCCAAGCTGGAGCCGAGCCTGGCATTTTGTTCCTCCTTTAACTGTACTTAGGTGTACTCCTCTGCAAGCACGTAGCTGTTGGTAAAGCCAGCTGTAGCTGGAGGGCTTCTCTCCAGGTTCCCCAAGCCCCGCAGTCCCACAATCCACTTATAAAATAATCACTCAGACGCTTATATCACTTATAAACTGTATGGCCGTGGCAGGCTTCTTGCTAACTGTTCTTATATCTTAAATTAACCCATTTCTATAAATCTATACCTTGCCACGTGGC